ATAGTTAATATAATTAATTATATGTTAAATAATAAAATATAAAAATATTAATATAATTAATGATATATTAAATATTAAATATAAATATAATAATTATATAACATATTTATTATATATAAAAATTAAAACATTTATTTTATCAAGAAATATTTAATAAGGAACGTCAATGAATATTATTTTCTTTTTTTGTTTCTTTTTTTTATACTTTTTCGTTTCGTCCTTTTTTCCACTAATCAATAACGAAAGAGTTGACGAATTCGAAATCGAATAATACGTTTTTAGGTCGAAAGGATTTGAATATCGAAAGGACACGTTCGTTTGTTCGATTCGTCTAGCTCAGCTGTCTCAGCGAGTCGTTTATCGATCATTCTTTTTCTCTTTCTTTCTCTTTCTCTCTCACTTTTGGAACGTGTTTGTGTCAAACATAGAACAGGATCAACGAACGCAACTAATATTAAAAACGAATTTATCCAAAAGATTTTATTTTATGTGTCGTATTGCGAAAGAATACATTTGAAAGATATAATGATCGATATTTTACTTTAATGATCATTTTTTCAAGTATATATTTATCATAAATTTACATAACATTTACGTGTCTAAATTTGCAAAATACTTTTTATTTCTTTTCATTTTTTTTTTCTTCTTCTTCTTCTTCTTCTTCTTCTTCTCTCATTTTTTTCTTAAAAAAAAAAAAAAAAAAAAAACACATTTTTATGCAACTAATAATTCTGATAAACAGATAATTTATCATTATGTGTAAATAATTGATTATTCGACAAATGTTTCTATACATCTATTCATTTGAAATATAAATGAATAAATGGATAAATTAAATATAATTTGATAGGTTTTCTTTTTTCTTTATGTTAATGAAATGAATTCAATCAAAAGGCTTTCTTTAAAATAGAATTTTACTTTTGAAAAAGTTATTTTGATCAAATCAGATAAGATCACTCGTACACGTGTAATCCTATTTACATATAATTATGTATAAAGGGAAAAAAATATATTTTTTTATCGATCATTACCAATTCGATTTTAGAACACGCACGTGCAACTAATGAATAAATAATAAAGTAGATGATCATGTGATTATTAAAAAGAAACTTAGATTTAATCAATTACTTCAGTATAAGGATAATTAATTTATTTATATATTTATATATCAAGATATAAATATTAATATAAATATATAAATATATTAAATTTAGCATTCAGATTATTTTTTTTTTTTTTTTTTAATCTTTGCCAATGTAATTTTTTAACAAGCATGCTACTAATAAATATATAATAAAATAAATATTAATTATTAAAAGGAAACTTGGATCAACTACTTGAGCATACAGATAATTAATTTATTTATATATTAATATTAACTAACAAAATATATTAAATTTAATATA